AAAGTCCCTCAAATGAAATTAAACGAAACACAGAATTCTCCAGGCCACAGGGAATTTGGCTCAAATTTTTAAATGAGTTAGGCAATTTAAATAGCAGTCAGCATTCTCTTGTGCAATAACAAGAAAAGGAAATTGTGTTGGATTTAGTAATTGCTTTTTCATTAGCATAGGAAAATGATTTTTTGATAAAATGATTTATGCTGCACGATATAAGAAATCCCAACAAATATTGATTCTGAAATTGTGAGCGTGAGCATAGGACTGTATCTCAAAATACAATAATCGAAGCTTCTATACATTAACTCTAGGTTTCATAGGAGTCCAGTTCAAACCAAATTTTTGCTTTAAAATAAACACGTTAATTGCAGTAAATTAGTAAATAATCTTTAAAATGCAAATTTTTTTAATGTTTTAATTTTTGCCAGCTCATACTTGGCCAATGTCTATCTGTATGTAAATTGTTACCCTATCTTATTTAAAAATTTATAAAGTAAACTTACATCTAAATTTAAACCATTATAAATCACCGTTTTCGCTATCTATTGTACGTAAATGCATCACAGTTAAAAGCATATCTACCCCTATAACTTTTGCTATCCACATTTTTGTGTCAATGAACCCACGTTTTATTAAAGTGAGTCAAACTCGCTTTTGCTAATTGGTCTTGCTATCAAGAGGACTTAGTTGGATGCACCTTATCCGGAATTCTCTGCTATATTAGTTATCAGTAATCATAAGGAGACTGTAAATATACCGAGGGACGCACCAACTTTATCATTGTATCCACGTTATATCACCTTTCAGTTACACCTCTACATAAACGGCTACTATTAACAATATCGTATAATATTTTTAACAAAATATTTACGCGTTAATATAAAATTAAGGAACAATAAACAGTTTTGTTTTATTTTAAATATTTAATTTTACTTATTTTTGTTTGCCTGTATCATATACATCTTGTATCTTCCCTCCTCATTCCACCCTTTTTTGTAAATTGTCAACAATGTTCGCATATCTGAGCAAGAAGGTATTGCTGTTATTTTTACGTTAGATTTCAATTCCCAACAACAAAAAACTAAATTCTATTGCATGGAGTAAAGAAGATGGATTTATTGCTTGTGGTGGAGATGAAGGACTTTTAAAGGTTTTTAAACTTGATGTCCAGAGGGATTCTAAAATCAAAGGTTTGGCCGCACAGACTAATTTAGTAATGAATCAAACCCTTGATGGACACGCTGGTACATATTTAGGATTATTAATCCTTCAAAATAAAGGTTCCGTTCGGGTCATTACTTGGAACGAGAAATTTAACAAAATTACAACCTCAGATCAACAAGGTCTTATAATTGTTTGGGTATTATATAAAGGAACTTGGCTTCAAGAAATGATTAATAATAGAAAAAAGTCATGTGTTAGAGACATGAAGGTAGTATTTTTAATATTATATGATAGTATCTAGTGGGATAGTGACGGGCAACGGATTTGTATAGTGTATGATGATGGTGCAGTGATTGTTGGCTCCGTGGATGGAAATAGAATCTGGGGGAAAGAATTAAAATGTGGTAGTTTGGTTGCTGTTGAGTGGTCTCCTGATGGAAAAACAATTTTATTTGGTCTTGCAAATGGGGAAGTTCACATATACGACATTATGGGGGCATTTCGAGTTAGTTTGATCTTTTTATATTGACTTTCTTAAAGCGATAAATTTCTTAATTTTATTTGATTAATTCTCCGTTTTAACATTGACGATAATTCATTAACCTTTGATAGTGTTTGCTTTCAATGTACCGGACAACATATTCCTCGAGAAAATATGAAATATTTTGGCTAGTTTAATATTATAGCAATAATAACAGCCAACTATCTTTGATTTAATTGTGTGGGTTGATTTGTTTTGAATATTCTTTCTCATTAACAAATCTAAAAACAATTTGTGATGCCCTTTTTCTTGATCTATAAATGTATTTGTATATTTTATTTATGGCTGATGTTGATTTAGCTTAAAAAGCTGTCTTGTCTCAGGATTTATTTGTCATGATAACAAATGTATTTTTTGGTACAATTATTCTTTGCAACATTGTACCTTCATTCTAAAAATCGAAGACCAAGGCCTTAAATTTAAATATATTTATATATATATATATTTAAGATTTTTCAAAAAGGTAATATAATTAGTAAGTTGTTGCTTTGAAATATCATTTTTATCTAGTTTCATTATTTAATGGATGAAAAATTATGATTAGATATCAGCTCTTGTTGAAAATATTTGCACATTTCTTCTCATCATTTTGTATTTTGAATTATTAACCATAGTTTATTCACGAATTTTTAGGATTAATCATTCTCAGCTAATTTCGAATATCTTTTATAAGTTACAAATGTAAATACTTTAACTACATACACTGTAAAGTTTTAATGTTATAGTGTCGTATGAAGTAATTAGAAACATCTCTACTTGCATTTAATTATTTATCTATTATACTGCCTCTATGCTAATA